GGGGTCGACGCCATTCGTCATGAGGCGTTGGGGGTAGCAGCAAACCAACTGGCAGCACCTTTAGCTCAGTTTTTCCAGCACTGATTAGACCGGAACCAAGTTCCCGCCATGTGGAAGCTTGGAATAATAAGCCCGATTCACAAAGGTGGAAGCAGATCTGATCCCTCCAACTACCGCCCAGTAACCCTTCTTCCTATACTCTCCAAGTTCATGGAATCCATAGTTGCCGATGGACTGGTGTGCTATCTGGAAAACTGCAACCTCATCACTCCTGAACAGCACGGTTTCCGTCGACAGCGGTCATGTACAACTAATTTACTCATTGCACGCAGTAGTTGGACCGAGGCAGCCGACGCTGGAGGAGGTGTTGATGTGATCTACCTGGATTTTTCCAAGGCTTTCGATCGTCTGGACCATCGGATACTACTATCCAAGCTGCAGCATTATGGGATAGGAGACCCTCTTTTAAGCTGGATCGTCAACTTTCTATTTCAAAGGCAATTATTGGTCAGAGTTCGGAGCGCTTTATCGGACCCCATACAAGTGGAGTGTGGTGTGCCGCAAGGCTCGGTTCTAGGTCCACGTTTGTTTTTGGTGTTTATTAATGACCTTGCACAGGGAATCGCTTCAAACTTCCTAATGTTTGCCGACGATATCAAGATCTGGCGCAGGATCCAGGCGAACGCCGACCAACTTGTGCTCCAAAGTGACTTAGATACAGTGTATCAATGGTCGATCCAAAACTTATTGCATTTCAACGTCAGTAAATGCAAGGTGCTTTCCATCCGACATCACGGCAGCTACTCATACCGACTCGGAACGGATGTACTGCAACAATCAACTCTCGAACAGGACTTGGGTGTCCTGGTTCAAGATGACTTGGGTTGCTCCAGGCAATCCGAAAAGGCCTCGAAGACCGGGAACCAACACGTTGGGTTGTTGAGGCGGGCGTCTGGACAAATAAACAACTCCATATTTCGACAAATGCTCTGTGCGTATATTCGCCCCCATGTCGAATACGCAATTCAAGCCTGGCATCCATGGCTGAAACACGACCTTAATGCACTGGAGCAGCCCCAACGCCGGGCATCTAAGAACGTAACTGGAATGCGCAATCTGTCCTACCAGGAGAGGCTGCAACGACTGGGATTGTTCAGTGGAAGCTATCGCAGGCTACGAGGCGACCTGATTATGACATACTTGATTCTGCGAGACCCACATCATGTGTGCCGCCCTTTACTGCAACTCAGCAGCAATACAAACCTGAGGGGCCACTCATTAAAACTCGCAGAACCATACAGTCGTCTGGAGTTCCGCAGAAATTTCTTTTCCATCCGTGTCTGTCACCCGTGGAATGCTCTCCCAGAATCGGTCGTCTCTGCACCGACACTAACAATATTTAAAAGACGGTTGGACGATGCACTCATCCACTTACACTTTGTTACTTAACACTATGTCTCCATCCTACACCTGGAGTTTACTCTGGAATTATGTGTTGTTAACTGTGGGTGTTGTGAATCTAAGTGGATCGCAGGACTGCAGCGAAGCAAAAGATAAGTCCTTATGTTCGTATTTAAAGTGTTAACTATTTTACTATCCTTTTCATCATAATTATTATGTTGATATCCCCACCAACTATCCAACGGGGCTTGTAAAGCAACGCTTCTTAACCCGTATAAATTCATTGCTCATTGTTCATTGAGTGCCTCCTAGACGTCGCCTGGGAAGAGTACACAAGGACTTTTAGCACGGTGGTAGCGCATACATCAGAACAGAAGCCTGTCAACTTGAAAATCAAACAAGTCATTTCTTAGGAGTAGTAGATATCACTGTATGTTCCTGAAGGTTTGCGCATTCGGCGCTTACAAGGATTGACCGAATGTCGAAACCTGGAGTGTATACATGGCACTTCGTAACTCCTTTTTGAAACTGATCCGCGAAGACAAGATTACGCATCCGTAGGAGTTAATGAAGTCATACCACAAGAACCGCAACCTTCTGTACGGTCACTTTAATGGCCTTCGTTAGATGAAACGCAGGATTTCAGCACTGCTCACGGCTAATGGTACAGGCTGTCAGCAACGGAAGCGGCTGATCTACTACGGCTTCATTATTCCCAAACCTCCCAGCAGGTAACGAGCCTACATATACTCCTCATTTTTATTACTCCATCGTATAGTTCGTGCAACCTCACCTTCATACGGAAGCTGTGTTGAAGTACTGCTTATACTTGCGTATCCACAGTTCTCCTGGAGTCGACAGCATTCGATCGAAAGCTTTGTAGACGGCTGCTACGGATTTAACAGAAGCACTGGCCGTTTTTTATCAGTAATGTTTAGAGAAGAACCACATTCCACTAGCATGGAAACGAGTGCTCATCACTCCTCTTCATAAGGGAGATAGCTGCACTGACCTTAATAATTACCGGCTAATAACGCTACTTCCTGTACTATTCAAATTTATGGAATCAATCGTCGCAGATGCGCTGATGCAGCATGCATAAAGTCCCGACTTAAAGCCCCACCGAAATATGGCTTCCATCAAAAGCGTTCATATACAACTTACCCATTAATTGCACCTAATAGATGGACTGAAGCAGTTGATGATGGAGCAGGAATCGATGTAATCTACCTGTACTCCTCAAAAGCGTTTGAGCGTTTAAACCATTGAATTATCCTTCACAAGCTTCCGAACTACTGGCTTGTCAATTTAATACTGAGCAGGATAAGCTATGTTCTACGCCAACGTCCGTTGGGGCTGAGAGCTCGGGAATGGCTGTCTGATGCAATTGACGTGGAGTGTGGTGTACCACAAAACTCGGTGCATAGGCCTCATCTATGCTTGGTTCACAAAAGCTTTAGCGAGATCAGTTGCTTACAATTTCTTATTTTTCGCTGATGTTATTAGTATATGATGGAGGATCAAAGAGCGGATGACCACGAACGACTTCAGTGCGATCTTAACACGATCTACTCAATTCAGGACACTTTATCCTTCAACGTAGACGAATGTTGCGTTGCGTAACTACGCCATAGACAAGACTACACTTATTTGTTTTGGGCACATGAATTAAAGACCAGCTCCCAGGAAAGTGACCCTTGTGTGCTCGCACAGAGTGACCTTAACTGTCCAAAACAGGCTAAGCTAGCTGTGAAAAGAGACAAACAGCATGTCAGCATGCTGTGAAGTGCATTCGGGAGATTTGACCCACCAATATTATCAGTGATGCACGTTTACTGCGTGCGCCTACAAGTTGAATACGTTAAACAAGTTTGGCAACCTTGGTTGAATCGTAATCTAGAGACATTAGAGGCACCACAACGAAGACGAACAAAATTGTATAGGACCTACGCAATCACCGTTACCACCGAAGGCTAAAGTTGCTGGGAATTTTCAGCGGGCGCTACCAAAAGCTGCGCTGCGCTATCATATTAACGTACAGAAGATTGTGTGAACCCAACCGCGTATGACGCCACTTGCTGAAACTTAGTCACGACAGGCAGCTCAGGGGTAACGGCTTGCAACTGAAGGAAGAATACAGCCGTCCTTCCAGTTTCACAATCGAGTTTGGCAATGAAAATGTGTCAACAGTCTTCCCGGTGATGCGACTTCTAGGTGTAATGTATAAAGAGGCAATTGCGCATACTGATTAAACGTTGCTAGTTGCTTCCACTTGCTTGTGCAAACTGCTGGTAAGAAACGCGAAATACATTGCTACATTTTACCAACTGAATGCGCAGAGCTCATAGCTAACATAAGGAGATAAATATTGACTGCTTCTAACCCAATTAGAGTTACACAGGACCTTAAACCCAGATAGCGTAGTTTGCACAAAAACATTGGTCAGCATACGTAGATGCAAGCCACATAACTGTTCACTAGTTAAGCTACACTAGTTGGGACCGAAATTGGTCTATGAAAATGCATTTTGAACTATTTCCTGGCCCTACATCTGAATATTCAGGTATACTCAGACATGAGTTTGAGGTTTATTAGTTAAATCCACTTAATTATCTTGGGCAGTCCTCGAACAGGATAGCATCTTTTACATTGCCTGTCTCTTTGTGCGCCTTTTTATGTCCAATTGCAGTGTTCCTTTCACCTTATTCCTCATATTATTATCTTCAATTGGATAACACAAAATGTGGGTGGTGTAATGCTGAGGGTAATTATGTTCCTGTGGATTTTAAAATGGCTTTCCGATATTAAAGGTCAACCAGCCATTCCTCCGATTGTGCTTCTACTGACAGGCTTGGTCATAAAGCGAGGGATATGCAAATAATCAAATTAAAGTTGACGACCCCAATCCACTTGTTCAACAGCCATTACCACTAATTTGTTTTATGGTAATCTCTGATAGATTTCCTGTTCAACCTGGTATCAGTCTTACCTACGTTTATCGGTCTATAAGGAGGCAACGTTCCGTCATGATTACCTCCTCACTTTGTGTTACTACTTGAAGCGCAAAGAGTAGTCAGAAATGTACCTTGATATTAATAGCTTTAGCTAATCTTTTCCTGGTAAAGACGCACCATACGTTGAAACATACGCATCCATGACGGGTTTGGCATTCATTTGCACTCATCATATAGAGACATCAGAGTTACAACTCGGATACCGGACTCTTGGGGGCCAGCCAAAGCCTCTGCTTTTGAACCAACGTGTCGCTAAGGGCAGGGCTTATCACAGCGGTCAGTAGCTTACGGGGATCAGCCAAAATCTCGCTTGGACAACCGATTAAGACAATCAAGCTCTACCAGATCTCTATCTCTGTCACTTGGTGTTTGACGTAATTCATTAATACGACGCATCATAATGACACTTAACCCATTTCAAAGTAGTCCAAAACGCACTCTTACCATAGACATGAAGACCGCCACACATTTCACATAATGTACCACAGCATTATACTAGGTTTGAGCATTTCCTTGATACATGTTACATGTAAGTCCTATACACATCGTTGAGTTAGCTGCATGTTTTGGTCGAGCGCAAAACTGTTCAGTGCGCAAAACTTATTTATTTACGTAAACAAAGATAGTAGTGAACGGCAAACACGCCAAACTGTATTCCAATGCAAAATCCGTCTCCAAGTATTTGCAATTAATGGTGCTCGAGACTTAGGTCCTCAACTTCATTTTCATGATGATCGCAAATTCCCTGTTGAAAAATCATAGGGAAAAAGGCAAAGAAAAGTAAACATTTACAAAATTTTTGCCGAAAAGCATTCAAAAGAGTTCCGGGCCGCACCTAATTTCTAACGATTGACATTACTCTAAACTTCATAGGGGCTTCTTCGTAATTCCCCAACTTTGGTGAGGGATTAGCAGTTACATTTTGACTGAATAAGTGAAAAGCTCAGTACATAGCAAAGAAATACGATCGATGAAGCCCACTGTGCAAGAAGCACTCGTAAGCTTTAGAATAGTCGGGTCTCGTATGTGTAACATATTTTGCATTTATGAAGTTACTGTATTCATGCATATGTCGAGGTCACTCCTAATTGTGAAGCGTTCAACTAGTTCATGTAAACAACAGCTTCTTGACGACCAGAGCTCTGTAGCATTTCTGTCCTACACAAGTTAGCCAGTGCATGACCATTCAAATTGACAATCAATTTGTAGTTTAAATTATAAACAAATTAAACAATTGACAAACAAGGCCTGCATTTTATGATAAATTGGCATAATCAGAGCAACTTAGTCATTTAGATAGAACACAGAAACCGGGTGCCAACTTGCTAGCCGTTCTTTCACCAAGCATTCACGCGTACAGTCAACGAGCTCTGTTGTAGCTTATTTAACATACTGTTTTCAAGATCAACCAAGTCGAATTTACTCTTGCTCGTGCTTCCAGGGAATACTAGCAGAAATGTGCGGCCTTAGCGTTTCGTGGATAAGAGTTATGGACACCGGCACAATAATACAATTAAAACCTTACTCACGTTTTCGCAATTAACACTGCGGATTTCCACGCATTTAGCGTTAGTATTGTTGTATGTGCAGTCATTCCAGACGTTAGTTTTCGGGGTTGGAGGATGAAAATGCTCTTCCTCAAGTGTTAGATCTAGCAATTCATAAAAATACAAAGTGAAATGTACAAGGAATTGAGCAAATCCTTTTTTTGGGGAGATCAATTATTCTAGACGGATAATATTTAATTGATGCAAGCTCCCTAGAAATCGCTTCATAATGCATGACATTAATTCTATCTCTGTTCAACAAAACCTTTCACTGAAACTATTATCGCGTGAGTTTAGTAACCGGACTATTTAATGAAAAATAAAAGCTCCTGATTTGATCTCGCTTTCTCAGCAATTTCCATTAAACAGAAACTACTCTCTTTTCGCAATTCGTTGCGTTAGTTCGTATCAATTTGTAGTAAGCTCAAGCGCAATCATAATTTCTTAAGGTAGACTAAACTTTCTACTAAAGCTCTTTTGCTGGTTTTCACAGGTTCTCTACTACTCAATGGGATTCCACAACTTACATCAGCAACAAAGCAGTGGGTTGATCTAATAACTTATTTGGACGATTGCACAATAAGTAGGTGATTTGCAAAGCACCATTGGTTTTATCTCCTCTATAGAGCAGATACAAATGTAACCGAGTCAACTAAGCCTGCCGACTTCTACAGTATGGTTAGTAACATAGTGCTGTCTCTGAAATCTACATTTAATATAATAGTTGATTATTTCGGCACAGCACATAAGAAATATTAGGTTGCACCTTCAGCATAGCTACACAATGGCAACACGATGTGCAACACAATCATTTATTTAGACTACAAGCAGCCTTCAAACTGGAGCACGCCATAAGAGCAACAACCCTATGGGTATTTAAATATTGTTCTGATATTCAAACTTTCACATATAATGCATGACTTGTAAACCGTAGTATAGTTCATTATACGATGTTACAATTAGCTAATTAGTGTGCCGCACAAAGATTCAAAACAGCAGGAAGAAGTAACCAGTGAAGCAAAAATTCTTCATGACTATCTGTTGTTCTCAAACGGTCAGTAGTAGCCGAAGATATTTGCTCACAGAGCACTTTTAAGTTTATTATAAGCTACAGGGTCCTGTAGGCAGCGAATATGAATGACCTAATGAGGTTCAATTCCATAAACCTAAATGCTACTATTCCAATATCAACTTAAGACCAACATTAACTTACAACCTGCACTCTTCTCCACAACGGTGGTGGAATTCTTGAGAGGCAAGAAATAATGAAACCACAGCCAGTAAACTAACCTTCGTGCAAATCAGAACCATGTCCATGTGGGCTTTGCCCATGCTCAATTACAGGTTCGTGTTCATGGGAATGCCCGCTAGGTTCTCTCAGTAGCTCTGAAATATTAACAAATGCTCAGGTGATTGTTCGTGCGGTAAATTTCGATTTGTCACCAAAATCGAAACAAAGCGTTTGCCTGATTGTAATCATTTTCAGCTTTCATTCCAAACGTATTGGTTAATACCCGTCCTGGAGTTACCCGTTGTTTACGTTGCAGAAACACCCCAGTTAGCAAATGAATGCAAATATTTGTTAGGATTTTTAAAAATAATAAATACACACTCGTTCCCATGGATCTACTATTTAATGTGCTCTTAGTGCTTTATTTGGAAAAAGTCAATTCCGTGACTTGTTGGGTTACAACTGAAACACAATTGTATCTCTCGATGGCGACGGATCCAACCTTAGTCGTTTTCTGTCCCAAAATTACCTTGTCTGTAGAATCATATAGAATTTTGGAAACAGTTTCAATTCCATCTTGAAGGAAGAATGAAAACCTATTAATTGCTTTTACTTTATAAAACCTTTGTCATTATCATCTTGGCACACAGATAGATCTGCGACTTTTTGGACCTTCAAGGAATGCAATGTGCGTTCAGTCGTGTACACTCAGTTTCAGGTACTACCTCATTTACTTTGAATGACTTGTCCCAAATCTCGATCAGGGCTTTCAGGTGTAGCCAGCTAGTTACAATTTAATACGTGGTATTATTTCTCCAAATTTTCAAATTCGGAGTGTTACAGCTTGTTCTCGAGAGCATGAATGACCATTCTGCCAGTTGTACAATTTTAAATGCTTCAGCCGAACAGGCGGTATTCCCTAACATTTTGTACAACCCAAAGTTTAGCTTTGGCTCGAAGGCCAACGGAAGCATTTTAATACATCTCAGATCATCAGGGTAGTTAAAACCGTTTCACTAGGTGCACAGTGTTACTGCAATGGACATACCAGATATTTTGTGATGATGCTGAGGAGCAGCCGTGGCTAGAAGGGAATGAGAAAAATGAGTACGAAATAGCAGACATTATTGTTTCAGAGGGCTTACTGACTGCCTATTTAATCATCGTTTGGAAGTGGCGTTGGGAAGCAACCCGTTCCCATTGTTACTCATTATTTGTAACAAAGTGACGCAGTACACAAATATTTTATGGATTCTATAGAGTAGAGTAAAACGGCTTTGTAAATAGTAATTCGGCGATTTTGTATTAAAATGGTCCTGAAAATTCAGTTGGACTCAAGTATGCGTATTCGATGCAAAACTCACTGTGGTGATGATCGTGGTGTTCTAAATCCGAATAGGTGGAAGAATGCACTGGAATTACGAACTGATGAGCTTCTTTTATACACTGGACTGGCTGTCAAGTCAATGCATCTGGTTCTGAATACCGAATAATGGCAAATTTTGAAAACACCGACCCGATCATAAGGAAGATGAAATAAATCCTAATATTATGAACCGAAAATATGGCTCCCTAAATAGTTTTGGCCGTGGCTTTAGGCGGAGCATACCAAGAGGCAACCAAACAACCAAAGGCAATGTTTGCGCATCATGTTTGTAAAAGTAACCTCCATTTACATGATAAACGATAGTGTCATCACCTAACTTTTAATAAGCCAAACACGATCACAAGTCAGCTTTTAATCACATGCATGAGCTACCAAAGTACCTAGACGTTTTCTTTTTACAGCCTTAACTAGAACACAATACATTTTGGAAATGCTGCAGCTTACCGTCGTGATCGTGATGAGAGGGGAATAAATCTTGCAGGTTACCTAAAAGAGGGTTGAAAGTCAGTCACAGATGAAACGCTAACTAAAATATTATAGAACACTACCACATAGACGGATATTATGTTGGGATAATTCTAGAATTCGAGAAAGTTGGAGAGTACATTATTGACTGTGTTCCCCCACTCGATAGTAAGAAGCATGAACACAATATTATCGTGGTGTAAAACAGTGAACGACTTTCACAATGTGAATTACTTCTACAGTGTTTAAGCTTCCAAATACCAAGCTGCAGATTATAAAACTCAGGATTTGCTATAAACTAAATGGTAGTTTCTTAATTGAAAATTGCTGGCATCCCAGGAAAAGAGATTTAATAATCAACTTTACCCGAAGGCAGGTATTTTAGTGGATTTTGGACGGTGGACAAATTAATTGCCCGTGCTGGCGGTGTTTCCAAAAGCACGATAGCAGCTCAGCCTGTCCTCTATCCACTTGTATGAAACAGTTTATATGTCCAAATATTCCAATGAATAACCATAGTAAAGATCCAGCACAACGAGTTGGATAAATATATTAATGCCAGATTGCAGAAGTTCACTGTTTACTGCAAGCTCCGTTATACCTGTTCAACCAAACATTAATTTTTTAGCGCTCAAGCTCATGCATACAAAAGGATAATAACCATTATTCTGGAAGTGATAATATTGTAATTGATTAATCTGACGGTTACCAAAGTACTCCATAAATTCGTATTCTGCATTTTGCTTTGTGTGATAAAATCCATCGATCACATTAATGACCAAAACATTGTGCATGATGTCAGATTAACCAAAGGAACTAGTTTCCTTAAGAGTGGAATGTAAAAAGTTGAGTTTGCCTAATGCCCGGATTTGTCTCCGAGATAAATAACCATCTAAAAAAGCAGAGATCTAAATTATTTGTAATCATGTTTAGTATGGAGCGCGATTGTCTACTTCTTTGCAGAATCATCAGATAGCTGAAGACGAGCATGGCCTTCGGAGGTTATATCGACCAAAGTCCACTGTTTACGCTTGCGTTACATTTTTATGGCGAGAAGCAAACCAAATAAACATTTCGTGGAATAGACTGTTGGTGTAACTGTCGGTGTCATTCACATCAAACTTTCTCTTCAGTGTAGTTGGAGACGGTCTTAAAACTTTTACAATAATGGAAAATAGTGGCCTTATCACCATATAAGTATTGGAAAGTAAAGACCTACGAAATCGGGTGCTGGTCAATTCGGCACCGTATAATGCTCTAGTTAGTCGCAGGTGCCTTAATATTGTAGCAACACGCAAGTGTCTATAGTACGAGCACATTATACGAACATCAGTTAAAATGTGACTTGGAAGGGAAATGGGCCTACTGGAATCTCATCCATAAGGCATTGTATGGAGCAGCTGCACTGGAAAGGTATAAGTCGGGGAAATAGCGGTAACTATTTTCCCGGCAAAATTTTTAGTATGTCCATTTCCAGTCTCTGTCACTAAATGACGGCTTTCATTGGTGAAATCGTCGGAATTCATTTGACTATTGTGCATTCGTAACAAGTCCTACGCAGCAGGGATACATTTACCTAGCTCACGTCGATTTACGCTATGGGTCTATACATCAGCTATAATTTATTTCAGCAAAAATACGGAGTATTTATAACACTTGTAACAGAAAGCTTATCCCAGCAGCCTAATCATCCACAAAACAGCGAATGTTTTACCCTTTCACTTACCCAGAAAAACTGTGCCGTTTTGTACTGAAATATAAAAAATTAGCAGAGTTTCGAGGAATATCACATTACCTAGAAGAACGACAAGTTAAAAGCTGCGCTTTTCGATTTTGCATTGGCTCAGTTAGTTGAACCATATAATTCACCTATAAGCTGACCAAAAGTTAATTAATGCTGCGTCAGAGGAAACGGTTTAGTCCTCTATTATAAGTAGCATCTGGCTCGCATCGAAAGGACAGTAAATAACAGCGAATTCCCATTCAAGGAAGATAATTAAATTTTTGATGCTAACCATTTAACCTGTTTACTTACCGAATACGGACACCGTAGGGTCATAATTTACGCCCATCACAGCAAGAGAGGGACCACCAAGTACAGTTGACTTTATGAACTCAGGGTTCAAGGAGGAAGTCTTTTTCAGATAGATGACCGTCCTAGCTTCCTTTTCCTTTCCTTCAATAGGCTGTACTACGCATAATAGGAATTTGTTTTCCAAACCATGCACTTGAACTAGTTGAGCTGTCAACTGCAAGAAAAAAATATAAAAGCACTGGTCATTTCCAGAAGGTACATTGGGCATGTTTGAGTACAAGTTGTGACGATTTGACTAAACTCCATCAAAACGGATGAACCAGACAGTCACCAACAAATTATAAAGTACTGGTCATACGTTTTATCAACTCAATAGTTAGCAATGTTACTTATTTTCTGGATCTAGTGAAATGCACGAAATCATGATCAAACTTTCTAGACAGCGAGCAAAGCGCCCTTGTTCATGAATGATATTGTTATCCTGCATCACCAAATATCAAATAGTTACAAAACGCTAATCAGCACTTAAGGACACAAACTTTGCTGTTTCGTATGTGGTAGAAGTACACTTAAAGTCCTGCGCCGTTTATGTTGGTGACTATTTGACGCGGTAAAGCATTCCCAAATCATTCGAACATCTTCCTTTCCACCTACTAGGACCTAATGATTTCGAAAACTTATTATCCGGGTACCGCCACTTGAAAGGAGTCCATACGGCGCTTTTTTACCTTGCGTGGTAAACAAATAGGCTGATTAAATAAACTTAGCAAAAGGAATGGCATCTGGTTTATAAAATGGAATATTACATGCTGTTTGTTGTCGAATCTAAAACTCAATATTTTCTTGTGGCTTAGTGCATAGAGCTGGAGTCGGTAGCCCATCATCTAATTTTTCACCTTCATATTTACCGAATCCCCACCTAGTAAGTGGCTTCTTCTAGTGTCGAGCAAACTAAGTGAACCATTGTTTGACTTGGAGACCGGAATGCTGAGTATTTACTAAAATGTGTCAGCCAAATGCATTATCTTCCTCCTCAAGGAAGAAACATTCTCATTGAATAACAACGTTTAACATTCTGAGCTGTTCTCTGAGGTCTGATAAAACAGAAACATTTATCTTGGAAACACACGAATACCTCTGCATAATCCCTAGGTGATTATTTGCAAATACAAGTAAGCTGATATAAGCATACAGAAAATGTGGGATGCTGAATTCTGCTCACTTTACCACACAAGCGATTAGTGATTTTCATCCGGTCCTCTGAGCCTGAGTCAGCCAGAGGTCCGCTCCATGCTACCTCTTTCCCGTCTTGTTGTACCGTGCCTTCAAGTATTACTGTGCTAACTTCAATTGCTGTCAAATAGGGACATAAAATCATGAACCAATTGTTAAGCCTTCGGAACTGGCAAGGACGACTCCGTTTCCCCTCCAAAGCTTTTTGGCTCGGGGTTACGATACACTTTTACATAGATGCAATCAGTATGGCTGAGTAGCAAACTGACTGGATGCAAGTGAACAGGATTTACAGTCATACAGAGGAAAGAATAAGTGACTCAAAATCTGACACTAGGCAACTGACTAGAAAGTTGTCTCTTTAGTTTAACGCATATTACATTAAGCAAAACGGTGTAGCTACATGGTTTATCATAAAACTGAATATTGACACAAAATATGAACATCGTCAAAAGTGCTTGTGAACTGCAGATAAAGCTACTCAAGTTTGGAATGTTATGCGTTTTCATAAAAAATAGTAACAGACAATAGATATCTAGAGAAACTGTGACGTAAATGGCTCTCAATATGCTAACTTTTATCTAAGCAACAAAATTGAGAGGTAAACTTTGGCGACATATTCTGTGCGTATGTGTTAATCGCTAGTTGGAATTACTACTGATGCATAAAAGCTTTCAACAGTTCCTAGTGTTATACGTAGCATGGACACTTAACTTGATAAATCGGACGTGTTTGGTAAGCCAATTCTTCTTTCCCAACAGACACTCAACCGTATCCACCTTAGAGTACGAGATATTATTTGTACAGCTATCCACATTCGCTGCTATATTTTACCGATAACCTTTTAAATGTAAGGTAGATGGGTGCTCTTTCATGGTTGGTAACTTCGTTAAACGGAGTTCTGCTCTGCACTTTGCACAGTGCCAGAAGGAGTCGCTAACAATATGGTAACAGTTCCTCTGATTGCGCCGGAAGCAAGCGATACAGCAGGCCACTGACTAATATTAGTTTTGTTGCTTCTAGATAGCCTGTAGCGTATTTGAAATTAGTCGGCAAATTAGCTTACGTTACTACACGAAACTAATCAACACATTTTATAAATCCTTAAAAAACAACCTGAGGGTAATATAGTATAAGGAAACTTTACGGTTTTTGAGTAGTTTCATCGCAGTCGTACTCAGATGGGCAGCCACTACATATCTAGAAAAGTTATAGACTGCTATTTTGTCCTCGGTAAAGAATAGCTGTCGAACACTGCTGTCTTAAACGACTTAAGCCATTTAGCCAGATGTGATGACTGCGGACAGTTTTGGATGATCTGTAACAGTAAAAGCGAGCTACACCATCATGCATGTTATGTCCTTGAGGTTCAATCTAATTGCTCTTTGCTGCAGTATCGTGTAAGTAAGCTTGGTGTTTAGTTCAAAACAGTACACCTGTTTCAAATTTGCTTCACAGTGAGGCTATTTTAGCTAAGGGTTGTTCACTGTTTTTGCACTATACTTGTCTTTTTTCTTAATTCTCTCCTCCAAACGAGGCATGCATTCAAGCAGGGATGCAAACAATGCTCTACGGAATGGAAACGTACCTCGGCCACCTGAATACGTTTCCGCTGTAAAATGAGATGTACTCCGTTAGAGTTGTGATTTGATAAGTATAAAATGCTCATATATCATATCAGCCGCTTTATGATGACTACCACAAATGCTGATGCATAATCCCATACTTTTGTTATAAATTTAGGCAGCTTAAGCGCTAAATCCCCGTGTATACTACTGGTATGATTTACACTCTGTATGCTCACAAGCAGGCAGAAACCGTAGATTTTCTGTAGTTCAGCTCTAGATTAGACAGTTAATATAAAGTGTACTTGGTTGGATCAATCAGTAATATTCTACAATCTGTTCGTCCTACTACTTGCACACAATGTAACGTCACTTCGAATTAGGTTTTATAAGCTAATATTACTTTGTAGGGATAAACCATGAAGAGCCTTGAGTATCACGTAGTCACTAATTCATCCGCGTGGTTCTTAAGCTGCTTATTTAGTGGCATGTACTTAGGAAAGAGATTCTATTTTCGCTACACTTGTGCCATATGCGTTTTGACGACTGTGAGAGTAAGAAACTGGAATTGAATGCTTGAAATTTTGAGTGAGTCTGAATGAAGGTGTTCAGAAATTTCGTCCGTCAACATTTTCTAACCATTGTTACAAAGAACTGCAATACTTGATTATGGTTGCACGCTATCCAAGGTAAAAGCATGAGGAGTATATAGTCCCTATTGAATTTCACTGCCCAAGTTTATCTTGCTAAATAACACCATAATGTTAAAAAGTAGAAACCCCAAAAAACTGGATGAGTTGAACTTACGTATTTGTTTTACCAGAACAATACCTGTAAAAAATGGAAGACAATTAGCAAGGCGCATGAAGTTGTACAACTGAGATGTAGCCAACAACTACTTTCACAAATCGCATGAATAAGTTACTGAGCCAATTTGGCACCTTAAAGAGAGCGCTTTATTTTGCACGGTTACCAAGTTAGGCCAAGTGCAGTTATTCGTAAAGAACGCTTTTGTACACTGTATGTAACTAATGGCTGTGTTCACTGTGATTTGGCAATAGGTAAGTTAAATTTTTTAATTGAAGCTATCTGATCTAATATCACGAACACGCAATAAATATGTGGACGACACCAAATGATTTCACCTGAACACTGCTAGCGTACATTTTCATCTTAAGCGAAGTATAGATTCTGCACAGTTGAACAGAATTGATCACTTACCAGACACCATGGTCTGTGAGAGCCAAACGCAACAAAACACGGTGAACAACATAGTTGGTCTTGTATGAGATGCCCCTTGTTCTGAAACTCTGATCCGGCGCGTCTTTAAATATCTTTATTGCAGGCATCGGAAAGTGTCAGGCCAACTTCTGTTGACCGCTGACAGAAGAATCTACACCAACCAATAAGGGGAGAGCTACAGTACTTAACTTGTGTGCATTTCCCCTACTCTTTTAAAAGGCTTGAAATGATTGGTCAAAATGAGTTGGTTTAACAAGATAGGTAAACATTATTGTTCTTTCTAGTAACAACAGACACATTAGTTAAAGCAAGAGAGTAACAGGGCTGCTGAGTTTAGATTACGTTGGGTATTGGATTGGCTGTTTTTATTTTCTCGTATGAGGCAGCACGTCCTCTAATTTTTTTCATTGCATAAGCACTCCGAGTAACAAAAGTAAGCTAATTAAATAGTCCTAAGCTGGAATCGGTCCGTAGTTGTAAATAAATGTCTGGGTAATATGTCGGAGGTCGCAAATCATACTGTTTCACCCTATCCCAGACTAAGCGTCGGGACTGAAAAGAACAAAAGTAAATCTATGACAAGTTCATAGAGCAGAAACTCTTACGATACTCAGTAAAATGTAGTAAAATGAAAATTACGTAAAAAGGAACGACCTTGTCTAACGGATCAAATGACCGACAAGGTGAATGCGTCGCCTAAGTTCACGTCACGGTACGTTTAAACATGATAAATACGGAGGTTTATACACAAATACAGAAGCCGCATTAGAAGTGACTAATTTTCAGAGTAAAAATTACAGCTACACTTTTGTGCTAGTTGAAATTAAAAATAATACACACATGCTGAATGATGGTTGGATATTAGTAAACTACCTATGCAACCGTGTAGCAAGGCAAGCAGCCTTTACTCCTCTCGATCAAGCATTGTATTCAAACGACTACGGACAACATTTGGCACTTTTTAAACTCTTGAACTATGCTGGCGTGAGGTGACGCAACATATGATAATTAACCCACAATTACACTTTTAGATGAATAACATATCATTATCGCATTAACTGCTTTTAGCGTAGCTGGCCTTTTCAAGTGCTAAATTTTTTTCGGCTTTTCGGGAAGTTATGTAGAGACGAGAGTGACGAAGCGAATATTCATGACGATGGCATCTTGGTAGAGGACGACAACGAGGAAAGCAGTTCTGAGGCCGTTTCTATCGTATCTATGAAAGTATGGCGATCCGGAGAATCAATATCATTTTTCATTACCTTTGACAGCGGTACCATATTGTGTGCACAGGCACCCAGACGCAAGTGTAACACAAGTACTGGAAAACTAATCTTTGCGTGGGCTGAAATCTCTCTTTTTGGAATAACTTAGAGGCACCCGCTGACTAGGAGATCTTATTAACTTACGCATGACCTCAGACTATAATAATAATAGGAATGTAAATTCTCGGTTTTCCCAGGCATGCCTGTTCGGCAGGATCATATTTTACGATTGTTTCGTAGAGCTTAACAGTATATACCTTATGTCAGACATAAATAAAAAAACGTTTTTTATTCGCCAGTTTTACAGTTCAAAGCCTTATTTCGGTGCAGAATATATCATGGCGTCCTGATCGAAATCTCCTTGTGTAGACAGAACCGAGTTTCCATTTCCTTGGACAAGAAAGCAGAAACAACTTGATAATAAGAAAATATAAAATCTGAACTCATGCCATTTAAACAAACCATCTGACGTTGGTAAATCATTTAACGTACATTGTGGCGTTCTAGAAAGATTGGTGAAAGGTGGAGGTAATAATTTGTTCCTTTTAACAGCTGTACATATGGGCCGAGACAGATGGACTGGGAGATTTATCTGTTGTGTGTGAGGTGAACATGATTGACAGTTGACAACTGGCCCAAGTATTTTGATATAATTGTAATTTAGGTGTAAGCGAGTAAGACGAAAAATGAGAGAATTGTTTGAACCAGTGTTAAAGATGTTGGAACTAGGATCAGTTAGCTTCACCATGATGCCCGGTTGTCTACATGAGCGCAACGTTGGGAGCCTATACGAGTAAGAGAACGAATGATAAAAGCCAATAAAGTTGGATAGATGCAGGCAGCCTTTACTTCTCAGCTCACACTTTTTGGTTTAACTGCAAGGTAAGCGTGGCTGAGTAAGCAAAATAAAAGGGAGTGGAAACAAAAATAGTCATCTCAATCTCTGTTCTCAATTCCACTGCAGTTCACACTTGTTAGTTAGTCTGTGTTATACTTTCCCGAGTAAAGAAGAAGAGTGGGTCGGGAGAACTAGTGTGAAGGGAGTTCTCGCAACACTGTCTTTTTTCCAATACACCTCTTCAGGAGGGCTAGACCAAGTGGATGCAATGTACGTAGAACATTTCATGTATATTTGTCAGCAAAGCAGTTACGTCTCGGCCCCCTCTTCAGATAACACTTTTTCAGTGCAATTTAGTTTTGACAGTTTTTACGTTTTTCTCCGGCAGGCACTTTGAAAGTACTCTTTTAAACAGCTTTTGTGACTCACGTGCTTTTATTTCAACGGGCAGGCTCTTCCAGATCTTAGTATATCTGTGTAGGAAGAATTTTATTCGGATATAAGTTTACATTTTGAAAAACAGGAGTTTGTTCTTGGTATTTCTAATTGCATAACTGAATTGAATATTGATATTTAACGCGAAAACGCGCTTGTGATTCCAATCAAATAGGAATGTTGCTCTAAGCTTCATGCACCTTAGCCACAGTGGCTCCAGTTGTAGCATCTTACAACGTTTAGATTAGTTACGTTTATACGTAAAGTGAACAGTTGTAAATGATCTCTGCACGTTTTCTAAGCATATGCCATCACATCTCCTGCTGATTGTATAGAAGATTGAACAGTACTCTAGCAGAGGGTGAACGCAAGCCTTAAACAAGTGCGGTTTAGGTTCACTCAACGAAAATGATTTTAAGCTATTTGTTGTGCTGCTTCGTGATCTGCCCCTTATGAATTCGACTTGTTCACCAAAATCCAGTGTTAAAGTACCGGATGCCTAGATCTCGTATAGTCTTATTACAGGGGGATAAGTTTACCACTAAGGTAAAGTGCATGCGGCAAAGGTTCGCAATTGGATATTAACACACTGCACTTGTGCGCTGAGAAGGACATTTACCAGTCTGTCTGTGTATGTCTATGAGAAGAAGAGTATCACTCATACACTTGATATTTATGGTGCACGGTATTTTTATATCACCCACAAAGAAATAGGGTGTCCCGGCTTTCCATTTTTTTAGTTATGCTATTGATATACAGTAGGATAGGCAAGGGACCTAACACACTTCCTTGACTCACACCACTATTGATCTTCAATGACGAAGACTTAGTATTTCCTAGTTGTACCTGCTGCGTGCGATCAGATAGGTAAAATTTGAACCATGTGTGCAAGGGATCAGTGATCCCGAAATTGCTTGACTTCATCAAGAGGTCGTTATGCGGTACTTTGTTAAGGGCCTACTGCATAACAATCAAGAGAAGGATGGCTGCTTTTCCATTGCCATTGGAGCTTGTTAGATGGTTTAGAAAAGATAGCTGACATTCTGACATAAGCGTCTTTGCAAAGACCCATGTTGAGCTGGGTTCAGTAAAGTCAATAACAGTAAGTGCATAACAGTTTTCACTTTCACAATTATCTCCATTATTCTCGAAATAATCGGAGTGTGGCTAACTAGACGGTAATCGTTTATGTCGAGTTTTGAACCATTCTTATATCTAAGTTCTATAATAGAGAGTCCATTGATTCGGGGATATAACCGAATTCATAGGTAGGATAAACGCGTTTAGAAACAAGTGCGATATATCCAGGCCACCAAACTTTATTCAGGTTGGCAGACCATCAGGCTCAGGATGGAACGAAGTCCGTAGCCGATCAGTGTGAGCTTGAATGACATCGTAATCGAAATGTACCTTGTCAAGTTGCTCAAATTCGGTAGGAGTGCTACTCGTATGTGTTTGGCTTGTGGTAGCAACCAAAGTGGCAAACTGTTCGTTCAAGAAGTTCCTTATTATCGTAGGGTCCCTGGTCATGGATCTGTCAGATGGTACGATGCATGAGAACGATTTCCTTTGACTGTCGTATCCGGCTCTCAGCAGCTTGAGCACGGCCTTAGATTTATTATCACGTATTAGTGCTCGTTTTTTCCTTGTTAGTAATCTTGCGGCACAAATCGACAGCAACTGGTCCAAGAGTTTATCCTGTCCGATAAGTAAGGAGAAATCGCGAGTCTGTCTAATTTTTGAGCGAATTGTTTTCAGCTTACACAGTAGTTTTCGTGAAAACCTTATTATTGGATCTCAATACGAGTAGAGCATGGATACGAAGCAGTGTTGGATATGTGCTTAACTTTCGTTCGACGCAAGCTGTGGATCTCTGGTGAGAAAACAGAGATCCCAGTTCATTTTTCGCAGCAGTATAGCAAATGTGTCCCAATTAACATTTCTAAAGGCACTGAAGGGCTCATTTATTTGCCTTATGTTACAAAGTGGGACGGGAACCATTGCTCCGAAACTGAGGTAAACAACTCTATCATCTTTACCTGGGAAAAAGGATAATACATCGACAGATATGAGGTGTACGTCTTGGACAAAAATGAGATTTAGCATATTGTTTCCCCCGGTGAACCAGTTGAGTCCATCCTTGGGCCCGGACTTCGGATACTTAACTCGACAGTTTTGATGATGATCTATACTCTGGCCATGAAATCTTCCGTAAATTTTAGTCACTTCCGATTAGCTTTAACTGAAAGTATCTCAGAAGCAAATTCGATAGCAGATGTGAAGTATTCTAAAAGTAACGCGTCCTAAGGGGATGGATTGTAAACACAACCAAGCAAAATTAAAGAGTAATTCATTTCAATAGAGATCCACACGGAGTTACTTTTGATATTGATTTTCGCGTCTGCTATTATTTGAATACGGAGCTGGTCCCGTGTATAATTAGCGAACCCGTCTCTCATACCAAACTGTCGGCTGTTCTTGAATGATGAATCTCCTACTATTTGGCAGAACTCATTTGGAGTG